AAAACAATAAAGCAATTAAACGCTGTTTACCTGCATCAATCAATCCATTTTATCTTCTTCTTTTCAACAATTGGGATACAAACGACATGACAGGCTCTACTAGTCCACCGCAAGTCTTAAAACCAAATGCTAAGCGGTAATTCATTGTCTCCAAGAACGCTGATGCACCCGGAAGTTAGAAAAGGAGAGTGAAAGTTAACGATCCTTACAAACCCTATAAGTCCCAGTGATTTCTTTATAATCAAGTGTTACTCTATACAAAGGTAAGAACATGAAACTCACGGCATTGCCCCAGTGTTTTATTAATCATTACCGAATTTATTGATATATTTCAATTCTTTTTTTTTTTGGTTGTAAATGATCTATGATTTTTCTTCCCAGTGTAATCATATCTTTTATGTAAATGGCCAATTGTCTTCGTTCGTTTTTTATTGGCATTGGAGTCAGTGTTCTTCCTCTTTTAACAATGGAACAAAAGTGCGTGTAAAAATCCGTACTTGTTCTGAACCAGCTCCATTGTATGGCGGTAAACTGTGTGTTGGTCAGAGTTTTCCATAGAAAGTATGGTATGTAACATTCCACCATGTATAAGTACCTAAGTTTTTTTTTAATGCTAATGATACCCGTTTTCAATGTTTAAGTTTCAGTAGAACCTATTCGTAGCAAAAGATGTGGAAGAATGGAGATATTATGACTTGTTAGTATTGCTTAAACATGTAATGATGTTTTTATATAGTATAACGGTAACTAGAAATAAAAATAATATTTATTTGTCATTTCAAACTGTTTAAATTATCATTATCCAAATGTAAAATGAATTTATAGAAAAGAACGACACATATACCTCCTTATGAATTGGATTGCATTATTATTTGCGCAAATATTCTTTATTTTAAAAAAATACTTGGTTGAATCGTTATAATTGATAAATAGAAGATTGAACAGGATTGAGTTTATTTTTTTAGGGAAATGAAATACGAGTGTTGTCCCAGAAAACTTTTTTAATATTTCTAACACTACTCAACCAAGACGTATTTTTGAATGCTGTTAGAAATAGTCTTTTTGTTATTTTGATAAAATATTATAGACCTGTTGTGTCATATGCATATAAAACGACATGGGATTTTTTTTTCACTTTCACATTTACATGTAGCGTTGTCAAAGAAGTTTTGTTTCTTATCAGTCTATACTATACCCACATAAATAGTCTAAAATTTTTATCACTTGTGTTTAAAAATTCATATATTTGTCATCATTAATGATAAATATTTTACGATATGTACCAAAGGTTTTAAGTTAGACATTGTCAAAAAGGATGACGTTGGTTGGTAATGTGAAGCATAAATTATCAAGCAGAACTATATTTAGCGGGGAATGCCTCATCTACATAGGGACATAAGATGTGAACGATGAATAAAAATAGTATGGGAAATAGTTTTATCTCTAGTGGAAGTGTTTTGAGTTTGAATTGACTGGTTATCCGAAAGAAGAATGATTAATTGTATATTCTTTAACGTCCCTTAGGGCCATTGAGCAGCGGGGGATCTTTTTCGTTCCAGCATCTTCTGCGACACGGGACCTCGGAAAAATCCGAAGGACTGGTCTCTACCTCACAGTTGGATTCGAACCCGCGACTCCAGAACAAACAATCTAACCACTATGCCACACGGTTGACCCCGAGAGAAGGGAATAGACATTGATATCAAGGCGAAATGAAAAGACGAGAGTTGGACATGGTCTACTTGAAGCCCGTTATTGAACTATTCGATCTTGAATATTTGATTGATTGATTGTATATTGTTTAACGTCCCTCTTGAGAATAATAACTCATAAGGAGACGTCACCGTATGCTGGTAAAGGGCTTCAAATTATAACTTCTACTCAGCACTCAGCGCCATAGAGCAGCAAGGTATCTTTATTGTTCCAACGCCTGCCGTTGACACGGGGCCTTGGTTTTAAGGTTTCATCCAAAGAACCCACAACTTTCACTTCAAAGTGCCGAGTGCATGACGAAGGAACAGCTGCTTTCCATTTTTTTCGACTTAGGTCAATCACGGCCGAGGTACTAACTCACGACCTCCAGATCACGAAGTTAAAAAATTAAAAACTTTGATCTATTTTCCATATTGATTAAAATATATTTTACTATATACATGTATGGTTGATTGATTGATTGTATACTGTTTAACGTCCCTCTCCAAAATTTTCACTCATATGGAGACGTCACCATATGCATTTGAAGGACTTCAAATTTTGACCTTTATTCGGCACTCAGGGCCATTGAGCAATGAGGGATCCTTATCATGCCAACGTCTGCCGCTGACACGGAGCATCCGTTTTTAAGGTCTCATCCAAAGGACCCGCAACTTTCACTTCAAAGTGCCGAGCGCATGGCAAAGGAACAGTTGCTACCAATTTTGACTACAGTATTCTTGTTTTGGAAATTCAGAAAGACTACGAGCTACGCATTGAAGTCGTCGGTATTGCGCCGAAAGCTGATTTGTTAGACTCGCAAATTGAGAGGAATTGTTATTTACAGAGAAACATGTATGTCATTAACATTTTCAGGAATTTTTGAAAAAAAAATGTAGATCGTGCTGTAGGCGTATTTTCAACTTATGCGTGGAAGTGAAACAAGATTTATTGAAATAGTCACCTTTTTCTGGGAATTCTGGGATAACTCTTCTACTTTTGAACTTTACTAAAACGGCACAATCATATCAATACATTTTTTTTTAGGTGATATGATTTAACATCATTTTTCCTTCACTTGTAGAGCAAGGATGTAAAATATAGCTATCACACTGAAAAGGAAAAGTTTATATTAAAGGAACACAAATCATATTCAGGAAAGAGGGATAAAAATCAAGGAGATCAAAACTTACAGACATGCATGTGCAGATTGTGAAACATATTCGAGAAGAAATGCCAGAAAAAGTCCATCACTTTGATGTATGGCATGTAGCAAAAGGCGAATTAATGTTTTAAGCGTTTATAAAAAAACATATTTTATTTTTAAGATAGACTTATATGCATACTGAAAAATTCACTATATTTGAAATTAAGTAATTAATGAGGAGTAAGTGACGATACAAAATGTTTGTTTTATAAATCAGGATTAAAGAAGAAGCTTTCGTTTGTTTTGAAATCAATCTGCGACAATATTAATTTTTGCGAGAGAGAAAACATTCCTTACAAATACGAAGCAGAACTATTGGTTCGCGGCGATCGATATTCGCGAGTTAAAGTCGGTCGCAAAACTCACGAATATTTCTCACATGGGAATAAATTTCGGTTTACAGTATTCTTCTTGCCGCCTGTTTTATACAGTAGGCTATCATTATCATTACATTCACCCCAAAGCTGGAAGAAACCAATTACGGAATTTGGGTTTTTGACCCGGTCAATTCTATGTTGTATTCCTTTCACTGGCGCATGAGCGCGTAGTCTTTCCATTTTTTCGGCGCAGTTACCCATGTATAGGTTTACCGGTTTGGAAGATTAACACTTCGATGAATTCCATGCAAAGGAGTGACAGCAGTGACAGCAGAGTCAAAGCAATGACAGATGAGCTTTAGATTGTCATTGTCATTGAAGATAATTGTCATATGAGTTTCATTAACTGATGAATCATAAGACAAAATCAAATTGGATTTCAGTTTTATTTTCTTTAAAGATAATTGTGAATCTTGATAGGAATACTGAAAAAAAATATAATTCATCTTAAAAGATTACCCTATGTTTCTTTTTCCAATCAGTATCTGTATATTTGCTTTTACACCTGTAGCATGCAAACTTGGATATCACCGGAAAAATGTTTTGACAAATGCAAATATCCATCTTACGGATGGGATTGGCAATTAGCATGAAACTCAATACATCCCAATGTGATATATCCAAGGGTGGTCCAGTTGTGTCTCATAGCAAGTGATGTGTAAATTAAACAAGTACTAGAAACCTCGAAAATGCATGCATAACATATCAAGTATTAGATTATAAAGCATACTGACAATATACTGTAAATGTATTCTATTAAGCGTGTACGATATTTGGCGGAAATTGATTTTTCAATAATTTTGCGTAGATTTGATTTAGCGTATTTCTTCATTTTCTTTATTATGTGTACGTAGGCGCAAGACAATTAGCGTTGTACTTAATTTAGCGCTTGTGGGGTTCCAGCAAAGCCGCTAGAAAATACAAAGCCAAATGTAATACGTTTACAGTATACAAACACAAACAGTTCATAACACTACATAACGGAAGGATAATGCGTATTTAGGAGCAGTGACGCCCTGCTCAACACCTGAACAAACGTTGTAAAAATTGGTTGCATTTGAGCAGTATGATGTACATGTAAGATAAACATATCAAGTAATAATTTTTTTCAGCATTTGGAAGTTGCAAACATAGCGAAACTCAACGACAAAACTATATGTATGTTTCTGAAAATTGTGTTTTAGTAGTCCCGTCGCCTTCGACGGTTTGTTTATTCAATTCAGACTATAAAATAAAAAACTTTTATGGAATCGGTACTGAAGATGTTTGTGTGTAATTCACTAAGAAAATATATCAATATTGACCCCGGCTTCGCCTTAATCAATATTGGTATTTTTTATGGTGAATAACATGCCGTATTTTACATTAAAAGTGTCGGATTCCATAATTTTATGATATTACAGTAAAGTCAATTACTGTAGATTAGGAGACAAAATGTAGATTAATAATATATCTCTACATGTATTCAATTCCTTGTTCTCTTTGAGCATAGTTGTTATAAAAATGGAGTTTACATTTACATTTACATGCATCAATAATGTTTTAAAGCTGAATATCGATTCATGTCAAACAATAGAATATGGATAAATATGATAAAGCTGAAACTCTACTTCATTTTAGTAAACCATTCTCTCGCATAATAAAAGACAACATACATGTATTACATTACCTGTTCCTTATTTTGATACTATATTAAAATGCTAACATTGTTCCTTTCAATTTAGGAACGAGCCTTCGCTTAGAATTATGGACAACGAAAATAAAACCACATGTATCAACGATGAACAGTTCCAAAAGCTCGAAAAGAACCCTATTCCATACAGGGGTACAGAATGAAGGAACGAAACGAAGATACGTAGAACATGAGTCTACAAATAAATTGTATTCATTCACCAGTATTAAAGCTACCCGTTTCAGTTCAGAAAGACCAACAGTTTTAGTAAAGTCGGATGTGTTTTGGTCTGGATACATTATTTATATTATTATTGGATTAGTGGGATTGTTTGTGTTATTTTTTGGGATTTTTGCGTTTTCTTTTATGCACAAAAATGTTTTTCAAAGAAGAAACTTAGACTTACGTATGGATACTTTTCAAAAGGAAAATACAGACTATACGCCTATTCAGAGAAATTTGCAAAATAGAAGTTCCGTGACGAATACTAATGGACAAGAAACGTCTTCGGCATATATTTCTCCCAGTTCTGAAAATGATATACATTATGAGGAAATAACTATGATTAATTCTTCTGTTGATGGTTCTAGTTTAGAGGATAACGAAAAGTCATGTGAGTTCCAGGATGACAAAAATAATTCTTTAGATCCAAGCACATACCTGACACCAATTGCAGAGACGTACTTGACTCCTGTGGCAGATTCAGAAAATACCTATATTGAAGTTGTTGATTGAATTATAAAAGCTTGATTTGTCATAAAACAGTCTTATCCGTAGCAAATAACAGTGTTTGGTTCTAAATTGATCCCCTCTCTTGCCTTTTGTACTCATAACAACAGAAGACAAAAGCAAAGGGAAGGGGGTCAATTTAGATTTAAATGTAGCAGCATGAAACCCTCTTTTCTTGATGCTTTTTAAATAAGGTTATTTTTTATGAATTACGGACAGGAAGATAAACGAATAATTATAATGTCCCTTTCCTTAACTCAAGGGGGAGACAAAAGATCCAAACTGGCCAGACAAGAGTTCTGTATACATGTAATAAGAAACTTTTATGATTTTTTTTTTCTGTTGAAAACAAGAATCCAATTTATTGGTTGATGAATAACTAACTAACTAATGTTTAAACAAATTGTATTAAACCTAATACAGTTTTCTAAATCAAATGTATGGAGATGAAAAATGGTGATAAATGTCGTAGTTCTTATAAACACTGTAAATGAGGAAGAAAACAATTATAGAAACATCTACGGCGGGATCAGGTATTATTGATTGATTGTATATTGCTTAACGTCCCTCTTGAGAATTTTTCACTCATATGGAGACGTCACCGATGCCGGCGAAGGGCTTCAAATTTAGACCTATACTCGGCACTCAGGGCCATTAATCAGTGAGGGTTCTTTATCGTGCCAACGCCTACTGTGACACGGGCCTACGTTTTTAAGGTCATATTCGAAAGACCCGTGACTTTCACTTCTAGTGCCGAGCGCTTGGCGAAGGAACAGTCACTACCTATGTTTACGTCTTAGGTATGACGCGGCGCCGCGATCGAGAATCGAACCCGGGCCTCCCGATCACGGATCAGGTATTAACCAGGATTAAAGCACCCCTGTCAATATGTCACACAGACATATGTTTTTTTGTCTAGCTGTAGACTTTTACTTCTGGTCTGAAAAAAAAAAAACATATGTACAACCTACAAGCTACATTGTCATTCATCATCTTAGCGACTTTGACAAATCATTTTCTCAGTGTAATGTCAGTTGCAGCATGTCAACGTGCTTTCTATAAGTTGAGTTTTTTCTCCGAATGTTCAGGCTAAAGTGGTTCATTACTATATAAATACTGTAAAAGGTTAATACAAAAATAAGGTCATCCAAAGTATAATATCGTTTTGTTTCTTTTGAAAGTCATAATTCAGCCAAATAAAATAGTAAAAATTAGAGGTATTTTACTTTTACTAAAAATTTCACGGAAGCGTATTATAATTGCATTATTGTCACTTTTATTTATTTTTTAATCTGTACACTTAAACCTGCCAAATTTCATTTAAATCTGTAAATACAACACATTAAAGTGTAAATTTTATACTTTAAGCTGTAAAATTTTCATATCAATCTGTTAACTTTATAATTCAATCTCTGAAACAGGTAGGTAGAAAATGTGTTGCTGGACCGGGAAACGAGCCCCTGACCATTGGATTTCAAGTCAGGTATTCTACCAACTGAGCTTTCCGGGCCGATATCCACGGTCCTTACAATTACATTCCCCCCTTCTTAAATGGTCTTCATTCTCGACGACACAATTTAAGTTCTTATTTCCCCATGGTAGGACTTCCACTTCTAATTTCAGGGGATGTCATTCGCATCAAATATGTATCAGGTAAGGAGAAAATGTGTAGTAGGACAGGAAATCGAATCCAGGGCCACTGCATGTCCAGTAACGTGGTCTACCAACTGAGTTTTCAAGGCCGATATCCACAACCCTGAACATTACATCTGTAAATTTTTCTATTAATTCTGTAACTTTTACACTTAAATCGGTAAATTTTGCACTTTTCATCTGTACATTTTTCACATTAATCTGTAAAACTTCTACTAAAACTAAGGATCGAATGGTTTCATGGTATTTTACCTATATGACATATGAAACATTGTTCAAAACTGATATTATTTCAAGTGTTTTTGCATAATATTTAAACATGTGTATATATGATAAGTACGGATGGGTCATTTCCTCATGAGCCTGTCTTCCCAATCAAATATCGGAAATCTGCCTTCAATGCATTATATTTCTTTGGTACTTAAGTATAGAGCGACAAAAGAAGATAATTACTTATTATTCACATTTACTGTTAAATAGGGAATCATCATTATATTTTATCATGTAGGACTCATGGTGTGTTGGATTTGAAGAATACGGTATTACTTAGAAAGTATGCAGTTGTCATATTGATTGAAACAAATAAATGTTCGCATTAAACAGGTAAATGTGTAAAATTTACAGTATTTACAGATCAAAGTGTACAATTTACAAATTAAAGTGTAAACATTACATTAAAGTTAACAATTAAATGTTAAATTTGACATATTTAAGTGTAAATGTCACAGCTTAAAATGTTCATTTTACAGATTAAAATGTGTATTTTACAGATATAAGTGTACAATTTACAGATGAAAATGCAAAAATAATAGAAAAAATAAAGTGTCCAAAGTGACTCTCATACACTTCTGTAATATTTTGAACGCATTTTAAAATTATCTTTTTCCTTGATTTAAGAAAAAGTAAATATGGGTAACAATTAAAGATATCATGATTGCTTAACATATAGGAACTCTTTGGAGGTAGGAAATATAAATGAGGTTGGGGCGGGTGTCATGCTTTTGAATACAATACAAGATCAATCAATGTAGAAGTTTGAATGACATATTAGAAAGACGTCTTTTTTATCGAAATCAATTATTATTCAAAAAAAAGATCTTGCAATATGGTAGAAAGTTTTGATGGAAAAATGCATTAGAAACGTCATTTTTTGTACGCAGTACAGTTAAGGCAACACATGAAAAAAATATGGTAATGAAGTCATAATGAGGTCTGACGTCATGACAGTTGCTCCGCCCTGATTGATCCATATAAGGAAATGGTGCTCAAAATAACTATTTACCGATATTGGCAACAATTTGTAATAAACAGCAATATCTTCATGTTTAAATAGAAAATAATTAGTGATTTTCTCGTATATAAAATAGCATGTCTTTAAAATAATTCTCTTTTTAATGTGTCGTTTGTCTGCATTCGGCTTCAGCCAAGCGCTTGCACTCGGTGACACGGAATGTTGTTTACATCTAAAAACGTGGCGACATCAGCTGAGATTTGCAGTGGATTTAAATGCAATAACCACACAATCTTTAAAGAAAATAGGGATAAAATAAGAGACAAGGCATTGCTTCTCCATTTTACAAGACTATGAGGACATTATTTCGGAAAATAGCTGAAAACTGAGACGATTTGCAACAGCTCTAGATCCGGAGATCAATCACTGCACTGTAATATTCCAGGCCAGGTATGTATTCGCATATGTAGGTACATGTGTAGATCTACAATATGTAAACATGTTTTTGTTAACATAAAAAAAAACCGAGTGTGTTCATGTTCATTGAAATGTATTAGTACAGTCAGTGAAAAACTGTAATTATGCCGTGCCTTTTGTTTAACAACACCCCCCCCCCCCCCCCCACCTATACTAAGTTGCACACTTTTTAGAATTATTAAAAATTAATTGCACTAAATATGTACTGAGTTCCTGTCAATTAGCTCATTTTCTTTTAGACAATATTTGTAATAATGGAGATCATCAGTAACACAAATTTAAACTAAGTAAATTGAATGAGATGTTTTCATTGTTTCAGTCAATGATTCACTAGTGACTAGGCCTAAATTAGCAATGATGTATTTTGATATACAAATATGCTGCACAATTTTGAAAAAAAATATCCGTAACATTGTGTTGAAAACATAAAAGCCCCACTTCAGATCTATGGTTGTAATTTTCTGGAATTTCTAAATTAATGAAAAAAAAATCATTTTTTTTGTTTAGATTAAATGTTCATTAAAAATATTTATATAATACTTTTATCATTGCAGCTGTCCAGAGTTTCAAGCTTAAAGAGTGAATAAATAAAAAATGCATCATTTCTCCACAGGGTTTGTATACTTCTAAAGCATTTCACATTTTCAAAGTTTGCATGTACTTTACATATTGTTTTTTTTTCATTTTGGTAAAGGAGAAACTTAGAGAATTTTTTTTTTAATAGAAAATATTCTATCAATAACTATTGTAAATGTCAGAGGTTTCACTTTCCCAGAGAAGTTTTGTAACACATTTTTTTTTCATTTATATCAATAACATAAATTCACTACAATATACAATGTAGCATAATTTGTTTTGTCAAATGTAATGCCATTTTATCCTACAATGTATATTTAGTAATCTCATAGCATATAACTGCATATATATTGTGTTGTAGGCCTAGCTATTCCCAGATGTTGGACAAATGGATTCATTCAGGCAGCAAGTTAATCCATCATTTAAGGAAAATGGTATGTTCAATATAAGCTATAAACCATACAAAGTTTTGATAATAAAACTAACAGAAGAATTGAAAACATGTGTAGCGGACAGTAAATAAGGGAACATATACTGCCTCGCCAGAGAGCTAGCTTTTCTGGTGATGCGGTAGAGTCTCCCTCTATTTCAGGCAGTTAAGCAACGGCGAGCCTGTTTAACCCTTGGATGGGTGACCGCTTCACGTTACACATGTATGTAAATTCTATGTTAAATGTTTCCATGCATTTTTTAATTTCATTTTTAAACACAAATTACTTTCAATAATGGTATTTCCTGATTTTCTCCTATTTTCAGAATTCATTTTATCCACAAGAACATGAGGTGATGGAAATAATTTGTACCTGCCCAGCATTCCTACAGTCTGTCATTGGATTTGAAAAGAAATGTTTATTAAATAAATTTTCTAGATAAATATTAATTTGACTTTTTCATATATTTAATGTACAGGTGTTGAAAAGGCCATTAAGATTTGAAAATCTTAACTTTCTTACTATTTTGTGTGGAGGGTACTAATGATCATCAAGATCTTATTTCCAGCATGTGCATTGTGTTCATTTATCTTTCAATAAAATTTCAAAAAACAGGAGACTAGAGATCCCCCTAATTGATTCAAAATAGGATAGGGGACCACCATTTGTTCTGAGGGAAGGGGGGCGAGTTTTTCCAAATCAGATTTTTTTTTTCATTTTAATGTCAATGAAGGACAGATTAATATTTATTTCTGATCAATAAGATGAAGGACATATTATTTATTAATTTTCCTCTTCATTGAAAATCCTACATGCAAAAAAAAAAAAAATGTAAAAAACTCTGATTCGTGGGAGGGGGAGATCACTGATCTGCAAGTATTTATTTGTTAAAATCTGCCAGTCCCTCACTCTCAAAATAAAATAGCTGTCCCCTTAACAAATACAGGAGTATACCCCAATTCTTTCTAATTAGTACCTAAAACTTAAAACTTAGTTTATATCCCTTAGTTAACAGTAAGCGGTCTGATTGAAAGCGATCGTAGAATATGACCTCGTATGCAGAAAGAAAGAAAATAATTAACACAAGTGTGTGTACCATAGGCGTCGGAAGCAAAATGAAAGGGGGCTGATTGAAAGGGGGGAGGGCTAAGTCAAAAGAAAAAGGCAAATTCCAATGCCTACATTATGTGTACAATAAAGTCAATTTGCAAATAAGAAGGGAGGCTAAGCCCCCCCCCCCCCCTTCACCGGTTCCGACGCCTATGCGTACAGTAGTGAGAGAGGGGAATAGATATCTAATTAATTATTAATGAAGGCTATATTTTAATTAAACATTTGTGTTCTACATAAATATATCGGCATTATTTACACATATTTGTGTGTAATACTACGTGTATATACACATTGTTGAGGAAATGCGGGAGTTTGAGAGACATTAAATGTATACAATGTATGGAGAATGAATACACAGAAAAGAAAGAAATGTCAAGGATTTTTATGCATACCGTTTGATTTAGTAAAAGAAAAAAGAGTCAAGTCCTGCCCGCATGTATATTTATTTTAAATTTACGAGGTAAACAAACTATATTAAGTACTCCAGAGTTATCTCCCATGCTGGGTCAGTGATGCGTTTGAAAACTATAATTAGATTGACTCTTCCAAGATTTCATTTTTTAATCAAAAAGTGCAAGGGCAAGGCGACAATCTAAAAAGTAGGTTTTTTATTTTAAATTATTTATTTTATTGTATAGTTTTCAAAAAGTGATGCTCATTTCTTTGTAATCCTTTGGTTAATTTATAATTCGTGATGAAATTAGGAAAATATCCTATTTTCCATACATTACTGTCAGTTTTAGCTGAATAACTTAATTATTTCGGAAAACTAACTGAATGAGCATCACTTTTGAGAAAGTATAGATACATAGAGACAACATAAAACATTGTGCGGTTAATTTTTTGCTTGTTTTGCCCTTGCACTTTTTGATTAAATTTGACATTTCATATTTTGACCTAAAATCGGAGCCCACGTGACTTCAGGGGGTCACATGATGTCAAAAAATACCGATGTGAAAAGCGATGGACATGCTCTTCAAGATCACAAATAGCTGTTTTAACTAGAGTGTTTTGCTAAAAAATAAAACTGTTAAACATTATATGTATCGGATTCCGTGAGTTTTTATAGAAAATGTTGCTTTAACTGTACTGCGTAAGAAGATAGTGAAGACTGTAGGATTATAATGCACATATTTATTTAATCTTTTTAGACATATAATTGAAGTAAATATTTTCTCAAATGTTCTATTTAATGTTACAACAATAAATATAAAGAATTATTGAATTCCTATAAGAGATCATATTAACTTGTTCGGCATGATTAAAATAGGTCAACGTTCAAGGTCGTAAATTTATTCATTCCGTCTATATGAAACACTATTCTTTTCGTGTGATATTTCAAAACGATTTTGAGCTTTTGCAGTGTAAATTTATACCAAAATTCCCTTGGACCTCTCTCACCCCTCTCAAAATATCCCGTCCCGGTTGTTTTATTAGTATTTATTGTATTAAATGTCGCTATTTTTAGCACAGGGGTATGAGGAGAGTTATTACGTATAATTAAACAGGTTGTCTTTGGAATTTATATTCTTATTACATCTATTAAAACTGTTAAATAGAGGTTAAATTAGACATTTCATGTATTGTTTGAAATTTTGACAAAATCGAACGTAAACATGTACCTGTATGTGATTTCATCTTTGCATCTAATTTTCGACAGTTAAAAGCTGTACCGTGGTTTAGTGGTATGTTTCTCGCTTCACATGCTAGAGGTCCGGGCCCAGCTTCGAATCCCGAATATTCCATTTTCTTTTTTTCGGAAATACTTTTTTAACTAAATGATAGTATTCAGCATATGAAATAAAAAAAAATCAATGAGGTCTGGCGTGTGCAAACTCATAAAATCATCATTATATCATCATAAATACACAAAATAAAGAAAAAGCAATTAAATCTTTATATCCATATTGAAACATTTTATTTGATTATACATGTATAAACATTTAATAATTCTACAAATTCAGTCAAGGCGATCCGACCCCCTCCCCAGCATGGTTAACTGCGCATGGTTTACTTTTTCCCTAAGTGGAGGACACAAATTCTCTGAATAAGCTTGTTAGGTTTAGATTTTACTTTAATATCCACAACATCCGGTTTCGACAGAAATGTTGCGCATGTTCAATTTATCAATGGTCTAAGGTGAGACTCACCATAATATTTATTCTAAAGCCCTCTTTAAACTGTTCACATATTTTGCTAGGCCATATGAGACACTCTGTGGTTCGAGTTGTTTGATGTTAGCCTTTTGTACATTTTATGGAAAGGAAGAAAACCCTGACCATTACCACTGCATCTATAACATTGTTCTTGTTTACGCATTTGCTCAAGAATTATCAGGAACTGAAGAACATAAATGCCCATGTTTCAAAGTAACGTACTTTGTGTCTCATATCCACATTAAGTGTTGGTGCACCGAAAACTATTTCTTGAAAAAATAATCTATACTCTAAACATAGTTATAAAGTCATAATAAACAGTCAAATTAATTAAGATATTTCGAATATTAGTTCTAGTGTAAACAAGGGGGAAGAAAAAGTAGTGTCTTGTGCATTTGGACATGCGATTAATTGGTCGAATTTTCAAAACGTGTGCCCTACATCCCGGGTTTGTTTACATTCTCGAAGTTTTTTGAACAATTAGATTCTTTCACGAGCAAACGTACATCTTTTGAAGTCGACGTTCTTTTGCATACTTTGGACTGGAGGCAGAATTGATATTCATTCTATTCTTATTAAGTGCTGAAATATCATCTTCTTACATCCAGGTGGATCATTTGTCCTCCATTCTTTTAAACTTGATGTGTGTACTAAACCATATGGTGAGGTATACTAGTATTTCCCACCGTGAAATTATGTAAACATGATTCATTCTTTAAGTTTTGTTTAAAATGGGTATTGTGTTCGTGAATCCATGCAAATTTTTCCACTGTTGACACTTAATGATCAGATGAAAAGCACACATGGATCTTTTGTGCATTCACTGGAAATGAATAAAATACAATAAAAATTCAAAATTACAGTACCGGTTAATAGGCTATCAAATATAACATTTAATCATTTATTTTAATGGTTTCTTATTTTCTTAAATCAAAAGTTTCGGAAATTAATAATTGGTTAAGTTTATATATTGATATATATATTCAGGTAAAACATTTCTTTTAAGAACAGCTTGAACATTATTGAAATTAGCGAAGACAATAAACCGAATTACTCTCAAAAGGTTATTGATAAAAAGTACAATTTTTCATAGAAACAAAAAGTAAGGATAACAATATGACAAAAAAGGATTTTTATGACAAATAGAGCTTGTTTATATGGAATTCACTCAGTTCTGATAATTTGTGGTCATATGAAGTATATGATATTATAAATATCGGATGCCACTTGACCTAAGCTTAACACGTCATCTATGCATTTGCTTATTAGTCGTTTATCTCATTTAACGACGTTCGATCCTGATGTTTAAAGTCTTAAACTTTTTTTGCCAAGTATATTTTTAGTTTGTACATACAAAGCTTATTTAAAATTCAAATCAAAAAGTGGGGGTCAATACGCTTCTTTTGGCGCTACAGTACATTTAATATGACCTTCTTGCACTGAAATTTGTGTCTTAATTAAAAATAAAATTTTTGACGTTTTCCCTCAAATATTTTTATCCAATTAAAGCATGAAACAAAATGTACTCTTAGTTTGTTTTAAAAAAGACACTAAAAAATTGTGATTAAGAAAAAGTTTCAAATTGCTTCACATAATCAATTATTTGACCTTTCTGCACTAATAGAAAGTGATTTTTCTGGCATTGAAAATTTGATTAGCAAGAAAAGTATTTTAGAGTCTTAAACTTTTTCTGATTTTAAGCAAATAGGTCAAATTTATCTTGAATATTAAGAATAGAATATCAAAAGTGGGGGTATATGATGAAATTTTTTAGATATTACAAAAAAAGTGTCAATTTTACGTTAAAATTGGCTCACATTTTTGCCACATTTTCAGAATATATTGATTATATTTGTCGAACTATGTTGTAAGAATTCATTAAGAATAATCCAATAGATATTTCAGAACCAGCATAACACATTTCATTGCAAAAAACAACTTTGTGTGCAACTAGGATGGAAAATTGGGAATCCAAAATTAACAGTACAGTTATAGTTCAAAATGGAAAAACTGATCATTTTCGTCTAAAAAGCCTTCCGCCACGAAATATAGTCCCTAGCTTAATTCTACTTGAATTAGATTTAATCGCAGTTTTTTCATTGGATATAGTTAAATTTGCACTATAGAATTCAGTTTTATTGTTAAAACCTAAAAATGATGCTTAATTTTATAAATAAAGGACCTGCGCGAAATACGCTCAAAATATCAGGATCGAACGTCCTTAAAATCGATTGTTGCCAAATAATATTATGCACAGATTTCTTCCTTAGCTTTTTATGAAGAAAATGAATGA